TGTAATTCATGCACAGAAAGACTAAAACTGGGGGCCCAGCCGGGATTTGAACCGGGGGCCACTCGCACCCTAAGTGAGCATCGTACCCCTAGACCATGGGCCGACGATCTCTAATTGTCCCATTCCCATTGATGGGCCGGTTTTAACATGACGTAAGCATAAAAGGCTTTTTATGAAGTCTTTGAGGAGACTCATTTCATATGAAAGTGCGTTAAGACGATGCTCGTAGGCTGATCTCACCAAAAGACGACGGCTGACGCAGTCCGCGAGATCCTGCTTCGTTTCGGGCGAAAGCGGGGTGCGATATCGTCCAGCATCAGAGCTAAACATCGTATCAAGGCCAAATAGTGGCCATACGACGGAAATCGGACGTCGTCTTTTGACGAGACCGACCTGCAAATCCCTTCTTGACGCACTTTCACAAGAAATGAAAGCCTTCTCAACAAGCGGCTATTCGATCATGTCAGTCCACAAGCAGGCCTGTACATGTGGCTGCGTGCGTAGGCGTGTGAATACAACATTGAGCCAACTTTTGGTGCCATCAGTTCGAGTGCATCGTAGCTCGACACTTTTTCAATCAGTGACATGTCCGACCCCCGTCCTCGTTTTCACACGGACCGCCATGCCATCCGCACATGCACGACCGGGTTCGAGTCCGCCTGACGCCAGATTTTGCAGGTCAGCCGAGCTCTCCGGAACACGAGGCTGGATCTGCCCTCTGCGCATTCTCTCTCTCTCTTCACACCCACCACGACCCTCGGCCCCATTTCAGGCTTCCGAAAAACATGTACGCAACCATGTGGATCTGGCCGATTCAGCTTGTGGCCTGTTTTTTTTTTGGAAAGGACTCCCAAATTGGTCCCACCGGACGCATTTGTGCGAAAAAAAACTCGTGGACGCAGCAATCGACGATCGCTGCCGCCTCCGATCAAACCCCTCTTAGTCGCCTTTTGAGAAGAAATGAAAACAACAACGACATGTGCACAATCACACCCATTTGTGCACCCTAGGTCGCTACGGCTGATGTGGACTCGAGCTCACGACTTTGAGCAATTGCATTTTGCTTTGTCTCCCAAAGACCTTCTTCAATCGGGCTGGACTGCAATCTCGACTTCGCTTCATCATGTCACAAGCATTATCGCTGTGCTTGAG